GAGCATGAGCAGGAGGAGGAGGAGAGGAGGAGGAGGAGGAGGAGGAGGAGGGAGGAGGGGGAACATTGAGCAGGAGGAAGAGAGGAGGAGGAGGAGGAGAGGAGGAGAGGAGGAGGAGAGGAGGAAAAAGAGCAGGAACAAAAGGAGGAAAAAAAATAGGAAAAAGAGAGGAGGGAAAGGTTGAGGCGGAGGAGGAGGAGGAGGAGGAGGAGGAGGAGGAGGAGGAAGAGGAAGAGGACGAGGAAGGGGACGAGGACAAGGAGGAAAGGGCGGAGGAGAAGGCGGAGGAGCAGGAGGAGGACTAGGCACGAGGGGGAGGGGGTGGGGGTGGGGGTGCCGCCCCCTCTGCGTGGTCGTCGTCGTCGTCCTCCTCCTCCTCCTCCTCATCCTGCTCCTCCCCGTTTTCCTGATCCTCCTGCACCTGCTGCTGCTGTTGCTGCTGCTGCTGGTGCTCCTGCTGCTCCTCCTGCTCCTCCTGCTCCTCCTGTTCCTCCTCCTGCTACTCATCCTCCTGCTTCTCTTCTCCCCCCTCTGCCCTCCCCCCATCACCCCCACTCCGCCTCCTTCTCCCCCTCTTGCTGTTGCTCCTCGTCCTGCTCCTACTCCTGCACCTCCTACTTTGATGCTGCTCCTCCTCCTCTGCCCCTCCTCCTTCTCCTCCCCCTCCTACTCCTCCCCCTCTTGCTTTTCCTCCTCCTGGACGCGGGGTCCTGGGGCCGCACTCGCGGGGCCGAGGAGGGGTCCAGGGATCGTGGAGGATTCCAGGGGTCCTCATGTGGAGGGCATCACTAGGAATCCTTCATATGGGAGGATCTAACCAGAACCGTTCTTGTGGAGGGTTTCAGTAGGAGTTCGTCTGCGGAGGGAGCCACTCGGACTCGCCAGCGCGATGCCAACGCACTGCTAACGCACTGCCATCGCAATGCCGAACTAATGCCAAAGCGATCCCAATTCAATGCCAACGCAATGCCAATGAGGGGTATCATGTGTGGTAGATTCCAAAAGGATTCCTACCTGTGGAGGGTTTCGATTGGAATCCTTCCGTGGGGGGGGGTTCAGTGTGAATATTTTATGTGGGGGGCTTTCAAAAGGAGCCCTTCATGTGGAAGGTAAGGACTCCTTATGTGGTGAGAGCCATTCGAACTCGCCAGCGCAATGCCGAAGCAGTGCCAACGCAATGCCAAACCAATGCCAATGCAATGCCAATTGGGGGATTTTTTTGTGGTAGATTTCAATAGCAATCCTTCTAAGAATCCTTCCTCGGGGGATTTCAATTGGAAGCCTTATATGGAGGGCTTCGCATGGAACCCTTCTGTTGAATTCAATTTGAACCCTTCTTGTGGAGGATTCAGTGGGCATCCTTTTTTGTGGGGATGTTCAATAGGAATCCTGATATAAAGTGTTTAAGTAGGACTTGCCAGCGCAACGTCAACGCAATGCCAACGCACTGCTAACGCACTGCCATCGCCATGCCAACGCAATGCCAGTGCGATGCCAAACCGTTGCCAAACCAATGCCAATGCAATGCCGATGGCGGGATTTCTGTCTTCCAACAGATTTCACTAGGAATCCTTATGTGGATGATTTGGTTACGAATCCTTCTTCGGAGGATTTCGATAGGAATACTCCCGTGTAGGGTTTCGATTGGAATCTTTCTGGGGGGGGTCACTTTGAATCCTGCATGTGGGGGCTTTCAAAAGGATCCCTTCTTGTGCAAGGTGTTCATAGGAATCCTTCTATGGGGGGGCATTAGAACTCGCCAGCGCAATGCCAACGCAATACGAACGTAATGCTAAACCAATGCCAACGCGATCCCAATTCAATGCCAATGCAATGCCAATGGGGGACATCGTTTGTGGTCGGGTTCAAGAAGAATCCTTCTATGGAAGGCTTCGAATGGAATCCTTCCGTGAGGGAGTTCGATGTGGACCCTTCTTGTGGGATGCTTCAATCGGAATCCTTCTTGTGAGGGGTTCAACAGGAATCATTATGCGAAGGGAGGTGTTGGAACTCGCCACCGCAATGCCAACGCAGTGCCAACGCAATGCGAATGCAATGCCAAAGCGATCCCAATTCAATGCCAATGCAATGCCAATGGGGGGAACTCTTTTGTGGTAAATTTCAATAGGAATTCTTATGTGAAAGGTGTCGCATGTAATCCTTCTGTGGGGGATGTCAATATGAACTGTTTTTTTTGTGGATGGCTTCAATAGGAGTCCTTCTTGTAGAAGGTTTCGATCGGAGTCCTTGTGTGCAGAGTTCCATTAGGACTCGCCAGCGCAATGCTTGCGAAATGCAAGCACACCAGCAACGCATTGCCAAGCGCAATTCCAACGCAATGCCAATGCGACGCCAAACCATTGCCAAACCAATGCCAATGCAATGCCAACGGAGAGTTCTTCCTTTCGAAGCATCTCAAAACCAATCCTTCTGCCGGTGATTTCAATAGGAAGCCATCATCTGTGGAGGATTTCAATAGGAATCATTCAGTGGAGGATTTCGATAGGAATCCTTTCTGTAGAGGATTTCACTATGAATCCTTCTTCTGGGGGGAGTTCAATGTGAACCCTTCTGGTGGGATGTTTTAACTGGAATCCTTCTTGTGGGGGATTCAACAGGAATCATTATGCGAAGGGAGGCGCTGGAACTCGCCAGCGCAATGCCAGCGCAATTCCAACGCAGTGCCAACGCAATGCCACACCAATGCCAAACGATCTCAACCCAATGCCAATGCATTGCCAATGGGGGAAATCCTTTGTGGTAGATTTCAATCGGAATCCTTATATGGAGGGCTTCGCATGGAATCCTTCTGTGGAGGGTGTCAGTATGAATCGTTTTTGTGGAGAGTTTCAATAGGAGTCCCTCTTCTAGAAGGTTTTGATCGGAGTCCTTCTGTGAAGGGTTCCTCCAGGACTCGCCAGCGCAATGCTTGCGAAATGCAAGCGCACTAGCAACGCACTGCCAACCGCCATGCCAACGCCATGCCAATGCGATGCCAAACCAGTGCCAAACCAATGCCAATGCAATGCCAACGGGGAGTTCTTCCTTTCGAAGCATCTCAATATCAATCCTTCTGCGGGTGATTTAGTAGGAATCCATCTGTGGAGGATTTCAATAGGAGTCATTCCGTGGAGGATTTCGATCGGAATCCTTCTGTTGAGGATATCACTAAGAATCCTTCTGGTGGGGGCGTTCAATGGGAATCCTTTCAGGGGGGGGCAGATTAGGCCACGTCGCATTCATTTGTTTGCCGCCGACCCCCCCCTAAACAAAAAAATAATGTTAACAATTGCCAACCAGAATTTTTTTGGGGGGAGGGGGGAGAGAGAAAAACAAACATGAGGAGGAGGAGGAGGAGGAGGGGGAGGCGGAAGGAGAGGAGGACGCCACAGAGTACGCACACCACTGAAAGACGCACGCGCGAACTCAGTGTGAAAGCCTCGCGCGCTCTGGAACCCCGAGGTGCTCCACAATCCTCCGTTCTCTCCCAACAAATCAGTGAGACCTCCCGTACTTCGAAGCTGGTGGCCTCTCGGTGACAGCCTGGGGAGCCCCTCCACGTTGGCTCGAGGTGGTCATTGAGCTTAGTTCGGGCATGTCCCCCTACAGGCCGATGTTCGACGAAAAAATTGAAACACATATCAAATCATTAAAACGTTTTCGAAACATCTTCGCCATACTATTTTGATTGCTTTTGAATAGTCCTCCTGTAGAGGGACGTACCCGACTTAACACTGGGCCTCCAAAAGGCCCGCCCGACCCGACCCGACCCGCCCGCCAGGGTCCGCCCGCACGACCCGACCCGACCCGACCGCCCGACCCGACCCACCTGTAAGGTCCGCCCGCTCGACCCGACCCGTCCCACCTGGTAAGGTCCGCTCGCCCGACCCAAGTCGCCCCGTTAAGGCTCGCGCGTGTTCGCGGGAACGCGCCCTAATGTTTAATGTCCCGCCCGACCCGGTCCGACCGTCAGGGCCCGCCCGCCCGACCCGACCCGACCCGACACGCGGCTTAGGGTCCGCCCACCCGACCCGACCCGCCCGTTACGGTTCGCGCGTGCTTGGTCGAGCGTGCCCGATATTTCAATGCCCCGCCCGACCCGACCCGCCCGCGCCTTTTGGGTCCGCCCGCCCGACCCGACCCGCCCGGCACGGTTCGCGCGTGTTTGGTCGAGCGTGCCCCATGTTTCAAAGGCCCGCCTGCCCAACCCGACCCACCCGTTAGGGCCCGCCCGCCCGACCCGACCCGACCCGCCCGCCAGGGTCCGCCCGACCCGACCCGACCGCCCGACCCGACCCACCCGTTAAGGTCCGCCCGCCCGACCCGACCCGTCGCGCCTGCTAAGGTACGCCCGCCCGACCCACACCGCCCCGTTAGGGCTCGCGCGTGTTCGCGGGAACGCGCCCCAATGTTGAATGTCCCGCCCGACCCGATCCGACCGTCAGGGCCCGCCCGCCCGACCCGACCCGACCCGCCCGCTAGGGTCCGCCCGCCCGACCCGACCCGCCCGGTACGGTTCGCGCGTGTTCGGTCGAACGCGCCCCACCCGCGGCGACGACAGTGGCGGCGGCGGCGCTGGCGCCAACGGCGACGACGGCGATGACAGCGCAAGCGAAAGCAGCGCTGGCGAAAGCAGCCGCCGGCGAAACCAGCGCCAGCGAAACCAGCGGGGCGAAACCAGCTCATTCCCCGGGACACCAGGGGGTGCAGCATTCTGATCCGGAACCACCACCCCACCCCATGGGACCCGTGGGGGTAAGTCGAGCCTGTCCTTCTACAGAGGAATATTCAATAACAGTCAAAAAAGGCAGTGGACATGTTTTTAAACAACTACTTGTTTAAACATGTTGGGAGTATGTTTTGAGTATGTTTGATTTGTCGCCCAAGATCCGCCTGTAGGGGGACGTGCCCGACTTAACTCTTGGGCAATCTTGCGGCCGCACGGACCCATCGAAAGCGGGAAAACGGCACAACCCAAACCAGTGAGATCTTCCGTCCGCAGCCATTTTGGCTCAAGGCATTTTCGGATCAAGTTTGCCGCCCAAGGCAAACGCCGAAAACTGCACACACACACACACCTTGATACCTTCAGACCTCATTTCGTACAAGTTCGGATCGGGCTGATGAGCATGCTAGTGAAACTCGCCACCGCGTTTTTTGCAGGCCCGACTCAGGCTACAACCGTCGAGCGGCCACTCGCGGATACCTATGTTAAGTCTTGCAGTTCAACGAATTATGGTACCCTGCAGGGTTTGGTCAGCAAGCGCTACCACGACTACTCGTGCGGCACTCGATACTCGTTCCTGCAATTCAGCGTTCCTTGCGATGCTCAGGATGCAACGCTCCTGCTGTGGCCGTCGACCGACCAGCCTGCTGGTACCTTTCCAAAGGTGGCCGTTTTCACGGTGCAGAACGAGTGGTCGGAAAGCACCACTATTTGGTCCAACCACCCCGGCTGGCAGGAGCAGGTTTGCGATTATCAGGCATACCCAATCGGGCAGGCGTTCGCATGCACCGTTCCACAGGCGAAACTCGCCGGTAAGAACACTATCTCGTTTGCGTTGGTTGCAGAATGGATGTGGGCGGGGGCCTCTAGTTTTTGGTCTCGCGAAGCCCTCGACGAGAGCACCAGACCGTCACTGGTGTTCCAGTGTTCCTGCACCTGGACATCTGACGGAGCAAATAAGTACAATTTAGAATTCGCCAGATATTATAGTGAAGAACTGGCATGGATTGGGGGCAGTTGGTCCCACCCAGACTTGGCCGAAAGTGGCGGCGACGTGACGTGTGCTCAGGTGGAGATGGCAGTAACCATGAATGACGACTGGGAAGACAGATGGCAAGTTTGGTCGGGCCAGGTAGACTGCCCAACGTTACCAAGCTGCACTTGGACGATCACGAGCTCCGTCACGACCGTCACGTGGGTCACCACTGCCACCACCAAGACAACCACGGACTCCACCACGTCAGGCAGTACCGCCGCCGAGACGGCCACAAACTCTACCACCTCACGAAGCACCACCACCGAGACTGCCACGAGCTCCGCTACAGTAGGCAGCACCACAGCCAAAAGTTCCAGCACGACAGGCAGCACCACCAGTGCCGACATGACCATGAGTCCAATCACCTCACGCAGCACCACCACCACCTACAACTCACCGATGGCGGAGCAGGAGCAAGGCTCCGAGGCATCGACGGTATCCGTCGCCATCATCATCATCATCATCATCATCATCATCATCATCATCATCATCATCATCATCATCATCATCATCATCATCATCATCATCATCATCATCATCATCGTTATCAGCACCCTCCTGGGTTGTGGCACGATGTGTGCACTGGTATGCTTGACAAGGCGACGGCTTGGAAAGTATAAACCAGATGCCTCGCCCGCCGATGAGTCCAATGATTCTGCCGAGGAGACAGAGAACTCTGCCGAGGAGACAGAGGATGGCCCCGCTGGTCTTCTTGAGAGCATGGACTTCTGGTTCATCCCAGTGGACGAAGTCATGCGTAGGCCGGCGGACTCGCCCCTCCCACGTCATCAGGAGTGTCGTGATTCAGGAATGCTGGTCAAAAAGCACATGACTCTCGATGGCGTTTTATCCGGGCAGTTTGCCGGTGAGATGGCAGCCGTTTCCCATCGTTGGCCCGTGCCCGAGCATTTCGATCCAGAGTGCGTTAAAATGCGTAAATTGCAGGAGGTCCTGGAAAACAACCCTTCGATCAAGTTCTTATGGATCGATTGGGTATGTGCACCTCAATGGCACGGTGGTGGACGCACCGATGAGGAGGAGCAGGAGTTCAGGATGATTTTGGAGAACATATTGCCTTTTATCTTCCTTGGGTGCAAGGTAATAGTTTTGTACGAGCGGATCTACAACCAGCGATTTTGGCCAAATGTGGAGTGCTGGATTTCCACCAAGACGCCGACTGAAGATGGCCTAGTGCCAGCTAGCGAGGATTGTCTCCGAGTGCAGGTCTACGGTATACACTCGGCAAGCGGGAGGGACAATGCGAGTAGGGCTCAAGTCCTTAAGTTCTGGCATTCAGTTGGCACGCAGGAAGCAATTGCTACACTTTCCAATGACGACATCCTTGTCACGAATGCAAAGGACAAAGAGATCAATCTGAAGGTGGTTGCCCTCTTGGATGATAATATCAAGGACTACTTTGCGCTGCACGTCTAGTCGTGCGATTTTCCGCCCCATGTGTGTGCTGACTAACCATCGATTATTGACGATGCCTCTCCTCTCTATTCCTTCGTCAGCATAGCCATCGTCTCGCTTACGCCCACGCATTTGTAGCACGCATGACGCACGACACAGCCATTGCACAGCACAGGCCGCGATCATTCCCCAATCAGTGCTTGCACTAAAGAGGTCCTAGCGGATATGAAAAGATTTGGCGAAAGTCCCGGGCCGATTTCGGTGGCTGTTTGGGTTCCCGGGTTCACCGTTCTGGGTTCAGGGTTCCCGTTTGCTGGTTTTGGGCCGATGTCGTGATCCCGCGATTGAGCTCACCATCGATCTCATGATCGATCTCACGATCCATCTCACTGAAACGATCTGACCATCGATACCACCATCGACTACACTGCTTGGGGTTCTTCTTTGGTTCGGTAGCAAATCATGGGAGCCTGGCGTACCCTGTTAATTCCGTCTTTAGCGTCGATTAGCGTCGATTAGCGTTTGCAGTCGACGAGATAGCGCCGATTTAGCGCCGATTAGCATCGATTTGCGTCGATGAGCGTCGATTTAGCGTCGACTAGCGTCAGCTCCCACGAGTTGCCACCGAAATACCACCATCGACTACATTGATCGGAGTTCTTCTCTGGCGTACTGTTATGATGTTCCAACCTACTTCAGCCTTGCTCGAAACTATTCCATTTTCGATACTCGTTCGACAATGTTTCGATGCTTTTCAGGGTGTTCGATACTCGTTCGACAATGTCACGATGCTGCAGCCTTGCTCACCAGAAAGAATTTCGAGCACCAAGAACGTACCAACACTGGAGGGTTTTCGCGTGGCGAGCCCTCGGTCGGAGGCGATACTCGTTCGACAATGTTTCGATGCTTTTCCGGGTGTTCGAAGTTATTTCTGGGATCTGGTCTTTAAGCATGACGAGAGCAACATACACGCCGGTCGTTGAAACTAGGTATTTGTGGATTCCCAAATCCCAATCTACTTCAAGCGCCGTCCTACTTCAAGAATCGGCTTGCTGTTACTGTGTTTTGTTATTATCTGGGAGGGCCTGGACCCAATCTACTATATCCGCCTTCCTACCTCATGTTTCTACCTGCTTCTTCCGACTGACGTGTAACCCTCGTGCCGCAGTTCGCCTCTGCAGCTCCCCTCCCGTTGCTCGACCAGCGCCTCTGCGTGCTTGCGTCCGTGGACCTGCAAAAATTGTGTAATGTCTATGTTTGCACACCCTCTCAGTGAGCGCTCGATCCGTTGGCCCTGAGCGCTCGATCCGCTCCTGCTCCTCCTCCTCCTGCTGCTGCTCCTCCTCCTCCTCCTCGTCCTCGTCCTCGTCCTCCTCCTCCTCCTCCTCCTCCTTCTCCTCCTCCTCCTCCTCCTCCTCCTGCTCCTCCTCCTCCCCTCCCCCTCCCCCTCCACAACTACTCAATATGAATACTACTGTCCCTCTTCTTCCCCTGATGACGGTTTGAAAGTGTCGGACCCCCCCCCCGCGTACTGTTTTTTTACACAGGTTCCCCCGGAGTGGGGTTTTCGCCTGCGTTTTTTTTCAAACTGCTGCTCTCGCTGAGGCGCCGGCCTCATTTTCGGGCCCCGCTCGTTCCAAATCGTGCTCCCGCTGCAGCGCTGGCCTCATTTCCGTGCTTCCGCTCGTTCCGAATCGTGCTCCCGCTGCAGCGCTGGCCTCATGTCCGCGCTTCCGCTCGTTTCGACTCGTGCTCCCGCTGCAGCGCTGGCGTCATTTCCGTGCCATGCCACGGCATGCAATGCAAATGCTAGGTTGATACTACGCTTTGCGGTGCTCTTCTACGCCATGCCATGCGTGCTCTACAATGCATCGCGTACCCTTTCGGGATTATTGCCCTGCTCGACATCCGACTGCGAGTAGAGAGGGGATCTGCGCCATGGTAAGGGATGGGAGGGAGGGGTAGAATGTCAGATATGACGCGAGCGCACCTAGCTTGCCATCCTCCCCATCCCCCTCCCCTCCCCCTCCTCCACCTCCCCCTCCCCTGCCCCTTCCTCCCCCTCCCCCTCCTCCACCTCCCCTCTCTCCTACACTCCCCTCCCCGCCTCCCCCTCCGCCCCCACCTCCTCCTCCTCCTCCTACCCCTCCTCCTCTCCTCCTCCTGCTCCTCCTCCTCCTCCTCTCCTCCTCTCTCCTCCTCCTCCTCCTCACCTCCTCCCCCTCCTCTCCCCTCGCCCTCCCCCTCCTCCCTCCTCCTCCTCCTCCCCTCCTCCTCCACCTCCCCCTCCCTTCCTCCTCTCCCGCCTCCCCCTCCTCCACCTCCCCTTCCCCCCCACCATCACCCCCTCCTCCCACTCCCCCTCCACCTCCTCCTCCTCCTGCTCTCCCTCCTCCTCCTCGTCCTCCTCCTCCTCCTCCTCCTCCCCTCCTCACTCCTCCTCTCCTCCGCCTCCGCCTCCTCCTTCCCCCCTCCCCCCCTCCCCCCCTCCTCCCCCTCCCCCTCCTCCTCCTCCTCCTCCCCCTCCCCTCCTCCACCTCCCCCTCTCGCTCCTCCCCACCTCCCCTCCTCCTCCTCCTTCTCCTCCTCCTCCTCTTCCTCCTCTCTCCTCCCCCTTTTTTCTCCCTCCCCCTCCTCCTCCCTCCTCCCCTCCTCCTCCTCCTTTCCTCCTCCTCCTCCTGCCTCCTCCTCCTCCTTTTCCTCCTCGCTCCTCCTCCTCCTCCTCCTCCTCCTCCTCCTCCTCCTCCTCCTCCTCCTCCTCCTCCTCCTCCTCGGGTCGCCTACGGACCCTGGGGAACCGTGCACCTCCACGGAGGGAAGCTGATCCCAAGGTCGGTGATGGTGGTAATATCTCGGCTTCCTAGGTGGCCGAAATATCACCACCAAAATCTAGGATCATCTTCCCCCGGTGAACGCAACCCCCTGTGTTGGTGTCGGTGTCCATCTCCAAGCCTCTAAGACTGTTCAAGGTTGAACGATCCCCGCGGTGTCAGGAGCCGACGTCGGGGTCGACACGACACGAGCTTGCCGTAGATCCTGCCACTCCATGGGCATCGTGGAGGGCCCCGCTCAGACTCTCGGTTGCACGCGTCCGCACGAGCCCCGTGGGCCCGCGTGGCCGACAGCAGCGGTCGGCCAATCGCCAGTCTTTGACGATCTCCTCTTCGGCAAGCTCCATGTTTGTTGCTTGGCACCGCTCGGACGCGTGCATTCGCCCCCGTCTAGAACGATCGAGGAGGATCTTGGATCATCTTACGGAACATTTCCACGCACGAAATCGAACAATACACGTTGGAATGGACGTCCGATCGTTTGATCACCAGAAAGAGGAATTCGGGCCCTGGGTGGCGATACTCGCTCGACAATGTTTCGATACTCTTCGGGGTGCTCGAAATTGTTTCTGGGATGTGGTCCTGAAGTAGGGTGGGAGCAGCATAATCCTCGTGCCGCAGTTCTCCTCTGGAGCGCCCCTCCCGTTGCTCCACCGGCGCCTCTGCGTGCTTGCGTCCGCGGACCTGAACAATTGTTCGAGATGTATACCGCGTCGTCGTTGTTGTCGTCGTCGTCGCCGTCGTCGTCGTCGTGGCGGTCGTCGTCGTCGTCGTCGTCGTCGTCGTCGTCGTCGTCGTCGTCGTCGTTGTCGTCGTCGCTGTCGTCGTCGTCGTGGTCTGCTGGTAATTTTACCCATGCGGCCGCATCTCCTCGACCATGTCGCTCGTCACCTCCGCTTCGGATCTCCCGGCTGACTTTCCGGCTCGCTCGTGTCGAATCGTCTGCCCTGAGTTCCCTTTCGCAGGGTTTGCTGGGGGATGATTGTCAGCCATCCTTCTTGGCGCCATTGGTGCCGCCGAGCTCCACGCTGCTAATGATGTGACCGCTAAGGGTCGTTAGTTACGGTTCCCCCCCCGTTTCTGTCGGCGGTGACTAGGACTGGTCCTAAAACATCCAAGGCCTCCTCCTCCTCCTCCTCCTCCTCCTCCTCCTCCTCCTCCTCCTCCCTCCCTCCCTCCCTCCCTCCCTCCCTCCTCCTCCTCCTCCTCCGTCGTCGTTGTGCGGCGGGTGCCGCGGAACAAAAATGCTTCGTTACCCCCTCTTAGTGGGACCCCAGTCTTTCAAGATGGCCGCAGAAGAAATGATTAGGTGCCGCCTTATTGGGGGGGACCCAGTCCTTCAGTAAGGCCGCCGAACAAGTAATTAGGTACCCCCCATTGGAGGGGGGTTTTAAAGATCTTTCAAGTTTTTAGTGGAGGCCCATGCCAAGAAACACCCTGCTTGCCTCCAGGGTGCCCTGGTTTTCTTGGGTTTCGATGGTTTTTGCGATGGAGAGCGTGACGTTCTCACACCAAAAGTCAATTGACGTCCTGGTGTCTCAGGGTTGGGTTTCTTGTGGAAGGTTTCTTGTGGACGGGCCTCCACTATACATGTTCCAAATATGGCATTGCTAAGAGGGTCGAAGGCGTTGTCGTCTCTTCCGCGGCGGAAGGTCGGCGGAAGGCGGTGGGAGTAAAACAGCGGCGGCTCCGTCGACGGAAGCTCGGCGGAAGGCGGCGGAAGCAAAAGGCGGGGATCGGGGCGTTTTAGTGGGCTCGTCTTGAGTTCGATCCCGTCTCGGGCACTTCAGGGGCTTCGATCGGACAAAGTTCGATTGCGCCGACGCTCGAGTTGTTCAGGCTTCGATAGACAGTGTTACTAGCCCAACACTAGGCCTCCAGAGCTGTGGACGAGAGGGGGCAGTGGCTTGTGCGCGTGGAAGCAGAAGGCGACCTCCCAAGATATGGAATCGTTGTTGGGGTTCAGGGTTTCCGGAATCGTTCATATTTTGTGGAAGAAAGATCCCAGCGAGGGTAACAAAACATGACACACAGACACAAGTAATCGTCGACTCCCAGGAAAATATGGGAACATCTGGGAAGGGGGGGGGGGCAGACGAACATCCCGCAAACATATACGACAATTTGGGGAATCCTGGGATCTGTGTCTATTCATCTGCGTGTCCCCCTGGGCCCCCTTCAAGATCCCAGGGAGGCTCGCCCGAGGGGCTGCCGCCCGTGGTGGCTGCGCGTCTGGGTCCGCTGCTGCAGCTGGCCTGGGCCCCCGGGCGGCTGGCGGAGCTCCAGGTCGAGGGGCGCCGCCCGGACCCCGCCGCGTTGGCGGTCGTTTTTTTTGTTGGTTTTTGCCTCTTGGCAAGGGCTCCCCCGAGGGCGCGAAGTTATTCGCGCTTCGCGCTTCGCGGTCCTCGTTTCTCCTCCCCCTCCTCCTCGTCCTCCTTTTCTCCCTTTGGGGGGGCGGCGCGAGAGCGCGAAGTTATTCGCGCTTCGCGGAGCGCGAAGCGCGAAGTTGGGAGCCCTAGTGGAGGCCTTCGTGGGAGTGCTCTTGGAGGCGTCTTTGGGGCCATCGTGGGCCATCTGGAGGTCACGTCGGTCACTCTTGGAGCGCTCCTGCGCTGTCTTGGGGGTCTCTGAGACGTCTCCGATGACCCCCCTGATCGCCCTAGGTGTGCTGGGACCGCTTCGAGGCCCGTCCGGAGGGTCCCAAGGCCCCAGATCCCGGGAGTCCTGTTTTGTGTGTGTATGTGTGTGTGTGTGTGGGTCCCCCCGCCCGGGCTTATAAAAATATAGGAAGAGGAATGTACACATAAGTGTTGGGGTGTATATGTATATATGTATATAGGTATAGGTGTGTATGTATATGTATACGCATATGTATACGTATATCTGTATGTATGTATGCATGCATGCATGTATGTATATATATATATATATATATATATATATATATATATATATTATCCGTAAGGGCTTCGCCCCCTGCCGCCGGCCCCCTCTCTCGGAGAATGGGCCATGGAAGAGCTAAGTCATGAGGCCTTGGCGCTGTCGTGAAGCAGTATCGAAACTTCATGCGAAGCCGATTCGCAATCAGCAAAACCAACTGATCACAAGAGGGGTTACCACACCTGGCGATTGGTAAGACGTGTATGGTTTACGGGCTTGGTTACCACACCTTGCGATTAAAGGGCCGAGGGAGTTCTCGCAGTTTGGGTTACCACGCCTTGCGATGGATGTGCGTGAAGGGTGGCACCGAATTTCAGAAATGTGGCAAATCCCCTGTGTTTTTGGACCCTGACCCCGCGGATCTGCGTGAGGGGTGGCACCGAATTTCAGAAATGTGGCAAATCCCCTGTGTTTTTGGACCCTGACCCCGCGGATCTGCGTGAGGGGTGGCACCGAATTTCAGAAATGTGGCAAATCCCATGTGTTTTTGGACCCTGACCCCGCGGATCTGCGTGAGGGGTGGCACCGAATTTCAGAAATGTGGC